ATTACAGCATAACATCAAATGACCAAGACCAGCTATGTTGCACAGACTGGGATTTGGGTGTCTTGTGTGACACGGTGATGGATCCATGACACTCTAGATTTTATAAAGTTTAATATAAGGCTACTATGCATTTAGGTGTAGTGTCGTGTCAAAGTGTCGGAGAATCCAACACGCGACACCTGACGTAAAGCAAGGTGTCGAAGTAACATAGAAGACCAGAAAAGGCGGAATCATTATAGATTCTGCATATATAAGCTCTAGTATTGCAGGCCCTTTGCAATCATAACTCCCACAGCACTGTCAGCATGCGCATATATAATAAACAACAAACTAATCATAGTACATCAGCTAGGTTTATTTGACCAATTGCACTAATCAATTACTAATCTTTATCTGTTTCCGAGTTGAAACATATTGGAAAACATCAAACTATAACTTAGTACATCGATACAGATTACATGAGCAACTGTACTGAACAAATAGTAATTAATAGCTGAGTCAAATGTAAAGGGAGTGAATGGGACACATAAAAAACCCCAGATAAGGACTCTGAATGGCAGGAAAAGATCTGAAACAGTTTTGTATTTTTTGATAGATAATCACACTGGCTCGAGAAGTGATAAGTAGACACTCCAAATCCGTAAGTTCTCCTGTCACTTTTTGAATACTCTACTAGAAACATACAAACTTGCAAAGTACATAGAATCCAACCTACTGTGAGACTTACTGTTGTTTTCAAGCGACGGAAGTTCTGCTTTCTTCTGCAATTCTTCCTTTAGTTTTGAAGTGTCTTCCTGAGCTAATCGAAGTTCATACTCACATAATGCCAATTTTTCATGTAGTGCTTGTTTCTCTTCCAACAAACTTTGAGGATCTGCAACTGCTTTCAGACAAACAAACAGAACAGTAGTTAAAACACTTTACGTGTAATAAGATAAGGCATATAACAGTCTCAATAAAAGTTGAAAAATAGCCACCCGCCTCCCCCCAACCCCCCACCCAAAGACAAGCCACAAAGCCCACAACAGACATATCGCATGTAGAAGTCAGTAATGCAAATTTCACGCATAGTCAGCAATTCATATACACAAAATTAAATTATGCAATAATATAACAGTCTTTAATGTCCTCAACTTATGTAGAAATCATCATATGAGACATGGCACAAAAGTTGGACACATTACTTTTTCAAGTCAAAGATTATCATAGTATTTAATAATCATAATTAACACCCACCACCTAAAGACGTACATAAGCTGGATAAACTCTTATAAGCCATACATTTATTACTATTAGACTGCAACCACCTGGAATTCCCTATCAACTTTCAAACTTTTCATTGAGTTGCAATAATAAAAAGATCATGGGCATTCAACCATTCTCGTGAAGAAGTATGGAAAGTACAACTTAAAAGAATATTTGAGGAAGAGACGCAAATCAAATAAAAAATGATAGCTGGATAAGATTTGATCCATCGAATGCTCCACCACTGTGGCATTACAAGAAATTAAGACAATCTAAGGTTCAGGGCGCAAATTCCAGGAGAAAGGCTTGCTTCATTTATTTGCTTTAGTGCTGGCATTTCAGTCAGACTGTGCCACACAGCCCACACCCTTCTTCTCTTTGTAGACAAAAAAATCGCTAAATAATAGGAGGGGAGGCTGCCCCCACCCCCCCAAACCACCCTCCGCCTTGCTAATAGTTGGGAATGGCCTCCTTGTGTTGAGTGTGGGCTGCATGCCTACATTTGTGTGTGCATGTCAGATAACCTCTTGCTTTTTAGTTTTCTACACTTCCCTTTTGATCATATAGGGTCTAACAATCTCATAAAGCAACTGCAAAATCATTCACAGGATAACTCATGTAATGTAACTATGTTATACTCTTTAGTTAAAGCTACAAGGTTGCAACTTAAAAATTCCTCTTGGGAATGGCCTGCTAGTGTTGAGCACTTGAGTGTGGGTTGCACGTACAATTGTGTGTATGTGCCATGATAATCTCTTGTTTTACAGCTTTTTGCACTTCTCATTTGATCATATAGGGTCTAACAGTCTCGTAAAGCAACTGCAAAATCATCCACTTGATAACTCGAGTGACTGTGATTTATGCACTTTGATTAAACCTACAGGGTTGCGACTGAAACTTTCCTTCAAAATTGGCCAGCATCCATCCTTTATAATTCGTCTGCTGACAAAAATAGCTGGCTAGGAAACAGTAAGAAAGTATAATTACCACATTTTAAAAATTGTGACCAGATCCATAGTGGTAAAGATTTCGCTTTGCCCTTTCATTTCCTTACTTTCATCTACAATAATTTGATACAAAACAAGTCAATGGTTTCCTGAATTTACATGTACCACGAAGCTCATTTCATATCATACAATTCATCCCTGAACCAATGATCCACAAACTAGGCTATAAGTCTCTATCATTGTCCCTGAATCTTAGGTTGGTATTAATAGATTTTATACTTGACCCATTAGCATCAGACCTAACTTTTCTAGATGCCTACTCCCCATCTTTCTAAGTTCATACATGGCATGTGGTTTTAGCCTTTTGACTTTTTTGATTTCTTTCTTTTTGGAAGTATATAGCCCTTAGTTTAAGCTAGCTTAAATTTGACTTTGAAGCTACCACTATTGTCCTTGAATCTAAGACTTCATCATATCACCCCTCCCATTCACAAAGAAACATTTTTTCGCAAGTAGCCTCATATCACCAATTCCAAAACACTATGCTTTCCGTCATTTGAATAAGTGCCATATTTCTCTAAATAAAACTTACAAAGAATTCGCCATACATTCACCAAAACATCCTTTATATTCCGCAGTAGTTACGCCCTTCCATCCTCTTCCTACTAATCATTTCAAGATGGAGTCCGAGTATGTTTGAACATCCAACCATTTCATTAATAGGTAATGCAATGATTTTTCCCGAACATCCCAAAATAGTACAGTAGTACACAAGACTATAATTTGAAAATAGAGCGAATCAATGAATTACATTATATTTCAAGAGCTTTCCACTCCAACCTAAACAATTCAAGTTAAACATTATAAATACTCACTTATGGTATGACTTTATGAAGTTTGCTAATTCAAGCAAGTCTCCAAAAACTATATGGCCACAAAATCAAGCTTGCATGTGAAACTACTTCAATATTTTCTCTCTAATGCAACATTTCAATTCTATCAATAAAAAAAAGAAATCTTCACCAAAATCATGCAATGGAAGAAGACAAATCCTTGCCAAATTCAATTACAGTATAAAACTTTCAATTTGTTCCAATAAGTTCCAACACAATTGGCCGAAAATACAAATACTGATCTACAAAACTACATTCGAATTCATTCTCATTACCGCCATTTACTATCGCCTACCAAACAGGCCGTAATCAGATCTTTCTTACAAATCAAAATAAAATCAGAATCAACGAAACAAAAAGACAAACCTCGAAGAGAATTGAAGCGAGAGATTTGATCAGGAGGAAAAAGAGAAGGATCAGCGAAATACTCCTTGAGACGAATAGCTTGAGCATCTCTACCATCATCAAGAAGCTCGTGAAGTAGCTCGAAAGCAGTTAATAAGTAGTTCTCTTCCAATAGAAAGTTTACCACACAATTACACAGCGATGATCTCTCCACATCCATTGTCTTCTTTCTCTCTCCTCGATTTCAACTGTTTTAACAATCAAAATCCGCCATTGATGCTTTTGATCGAAGCTTCAATCGAGAGAAATCGATCTGAGGATTTTGTACCCCGTGCTCTGTAATTTTTTTTCGTTTTTTTTTTTTTTTTTTTTTTTTTTTTTTGTTTTTGTTGGGATAAAATTGGTGCAGATGGATTTTATGATCTGGTTAGAAAAATGAAACGTGACGGTGTCGGTATTATACTTATTTACGGATTTACCTATGCGGCTGTCTCATTTTTAAAACGCTTTTTTTTTTTTTTATTCGGACTATAATAAAAAGTTAGATGGTCTTGTAAAAAAAAAAAAAAAGGAGTTAATCTTCATGATTAACAACAATTGTTTATCTAATAGCAATATTGTAGATAAGTGCATATTTTTTTATAATTTAAGATCAAAATTGCTACTTTCACTAAAACCAACTGTATACACCAAAATCACTTCTTGACGTAGCACAAAGTATAAAGATTTATCCAAAAGAAATGTAATGGTGTAGACATAATTTGTTAACAAGCTAGTAACCCACAAAACTCTACTCGTATTAAGCTAAAAGGCAACTATCATTCATAATTTTGTGAACCTTTATGTTCTTGTAACATTTTTTTTCTTCGTAATTGATGTGCATGTTAAATTTTTAAGTTATATTGTGTGATATATATGGATAATGAAAAAATAAAAAAATAAAAGAGGGTGACATATAAAGATGAGTGGTGGAAAATATGATGCATTTAAGAGAATTGTGATAGTACTTGACAAGGAAAAATACATTTTGCTTTATCCAACTTAAAAATTATACGTAGTATTTGACATATTTAAACTTTTTTTCCCTTTATATTACATTATTACCATATTTGAGCTTATTGTACTCCGCAGTTGAATTGAACTTGTTCGAAAAAATAAGCTACTTTGTAACACTTATTGAAACTGATTATTGACAATATCGATTAAAAGGTGAGAGTACAAAGTGAAAGCTGAAATGGTGGACAATCTCTCTTGTTTGAAGCATATAAAATCAAGAAGCTTTACCGCTCGCGAGAGTTGAACACAATGTCACAAAGTACAGATTAAACTGTTTAGCTTTTAATTTTGGAAAAGTTGTCACTTTGACCGATCCGCTAAAAACAAGTTAAACTCTTGTTTGTATTATTCTGAAATAATAAAAGTTTAACTTATTTTTAGCGGATCGCTCAAAGTTCGTATTAATGTTGACAATTTTTCATCCAAAATCTTTAAAAGCTTGAAAAAGAAAGCACAAGCATCATGCATGTCCCACTGGATAGATGGCTAGCAACACTATTGGGGACTTGTAACAATAACAACCAAACATTATTTTCTTCTAATCTTAGGTTCTCAAACTTAGGTTGTGGCCTTCCTCTATAACACAAAGTACAGAAATAATGAATCAAAAATATGAACCTTTGTAGAGAATACAGGAATCCAGATTCTGGGTTATTATCATATACCGCGAATCTCAGCAAGAAAGGAGAGATTTTTCGAGTGTTTGGTTGAGATGGATGGGAGCAAATTAGTAAATGGGAGAACAACTGGGTCAGTAAAAGCAGCCATTAACAAGTATGGTGGAGGAAGGAAGATTAATCAAGTCACTAATACATATAAGAAGTCTCTGAATAATGCTTCAAACTCTGAGGTAAATAGAGTATATTCTCCATTATCACTTTCTTATTTGTTACTAGATTAATACTACATGTATATATATTCGATTATTCGTGCTAACGGTTGGTTGAACTTAGCAGATAAGTTCTTCAAAGGCTCAAGAACTTCATGTTGCAAAGAATAGGATCAACCAAATCAATGAAAACAGGATAATAGCGGAGTCAGAGATAAACCAGGCTGAGTTCGAAATCCTGAAGGCGAAAAAGTTAGTTAGGGAGCTCACATCACAAATACAAGAGTCGGAATTAAGGGCTAAGGAGTTTCAGAAGGGGAAGAGAGTTGAGGAACTACCTGGCCAAGAGGAAAATGTTCAGTATGAAGAAGTCGTGAAAGAAGTTGAAGCAGTCAAAAGAGATATCAGCAAAATTAAACTTGAGATAGAACGAGCAGTTGAAGAGAAATTCAGGGCAGAAAAAGAAGCAGATGCTGCTGGTTCAAGACTCAAGTTTTATACGAGTGCTGCTGATAAATTAAGGATAGAGATTGAAGAAGCTAAAGAAGAGGAGGTCTTGGTTGAGCTAGCTCAAATCCAGGCACAGAAAGAACTTGCAGAGATTGAAGCTCAGAAGAAAGAAGAAGAGGAAAGATATTCAAATCTGATTGCTGAAACTAGAAAAAAGATCGGTATATTGAGAGATGAAATTGAGAAAATGAAATATCTTGAAGATATACTAGAGCTTACAGTTTCAGAGGTTGATGTATTGCAGAATGAGCTGAATTTGATTAAGGAAATGGACAGTAAATATCAGAGAAGAGTAAGTTTAAACGACTCTGCTTTGAAGACAGTCACAAAAGATCTGGAAGCAGCAAGGAAAGAATTGGAGACTATCCAAGCAGAAGGGTTTCAGCTTATGGGTAGTATGGATATAATAAGAATCGAGCTGATAAACATGACAAAGGAGAAGGGTGAAATTGAAAAAAAGGAAGCAGAAACCAAAAATTTAATAAAGAAGATGAACTCAACACTTCTAAGGGCCAAAGATAAGTTAGAAGTTGCCAGAGCATCTGAGGAAAAGGCTAAGTCAATGTTACCATCTCTATCCCTTGCTTTAGAGAGCTTAAAAAGAGATAAGGAGGCAGCAAAGAAAGAGGAGGAGAAATTGAAAGAGGAGACAGACTGCATCAGGGCTGAGATTCAGAAAATTGAATCTGAAAATGATACTAAGGAAGAGAAACTACAGGTTGTAATTAAAGCGCTAGAAGTAGTCAAAACTTCAGAAGCAAATGCTCTTGAGAAATTGCAGACCCTTGTAGAAAATGCAGTGAAAGCAAGGGCTTCCCAGACAAAATCTACCATCACAATATCAAAATTTGAGTACGAATATTTAACAGGATGTGCAGCTGGAGCTCGAGAGACTGCTGACAAGAAAGTGGCAGCTGCTCAGGCATGGGCAGAAGCATTAATGGCCAGTGAGAGAGAGGTTAAGATAGAAACTGCTTTGGTAGAGAGGGAGATTGAAGAGCTGAAGCTAGAGGAAGAGCAGGAGGTCAAGAGGATGGAAGAATTAGAAAGCGTGGAGGATTCAGAAACAGAGCAGCAGCAAAAAGAGATAAACCATAGCCGGAAGAGCCTTCAGGGGAGGAGATCAATAAAAGATCATGATTATAGCTCAACCCCACTAAGACAAGCCAAGTTGCGAAGATCTGGCTCTCCGGCTACAAGACGAATAAGCACTTCAACCTCTTTATCTATGAAAAGAAGGAGAAAAGTAATGCTCAAAATCGCAAAATATTTTGCTAATGAGCAGATTGAGGATGAAAACTCAGTCCCCTTGAAGGCAGACACAGACAATTAATCACCTTTGAGTATTCATTTAATAAAATCACATTCAAGCATTGTTGTACATACAAGCCAGATTCTTCAGATTCTTTATTTTGGGAGATTTTGTAATCAGTACATAGAGTATATTAGATTAGTAGGATATGATAAGTATGCATGTAAAGATTCGCCAACTAATTTCCAAATTTTGATTCCACGTGAAATTTCACTTATATAATTCTGCAGTTTCCTGCGTCTTCAAGTACGGACCAAGGACACAACCAGATTCCTAGATAAGAATCATAAGATACTGACGATAGATACAAAAGAATCAATTAATCATTTTTGATACTTCAATAACAAATCCAAGATAACAGCAAATACTTATACATTACTTCACCAAAATGTTACATAATCAGAACCACAATGCTTACAGAAAAAGCACCTTTTCTTTGATTAAGCTTGTGAATATAAAAAAAGTAAGAAAAAAAAAAGGTCAAAAATATGTATACTAAACAAACATGTATTAGAGCAACAAGACGATATACTGCAATACAAAAAGAAAAGTGGAGGAAAAGCAGGGAAAATGAAATTACACTGTTGAACTCTATGTTTCTTACTCAAAACTGTTTTTCGAAGCAGCACTTTTCCGTTGGTCAGAATCCTCAATGTTTAGTACTCTCCAACTGTAACTGAGTGAAACTTTCTGGAAGCATCGCTGTTGCTGCACTTTGTGCCATTTGAAGCTGAGAAGGCAATATAAGACCAGAAGGTTGAGTTTTGTATATCTGGGCATGCATAGGATCTTCATATTCACTGATATTATTAGTTTTTTCAATGGGAGGAACAGTAACAGGCTGAGCTGGTTGATGCACTGCAGGCAAAGTCACAGGTTGGGTTGCCATTGCAGTTGGCATGTATACTTCAGAAGCATATTCAGATGCTGGAGTAGCAGGTTTACTGTAACCTTCATAAATTATCGGGGGTGAAACCACAACAGGATTTGAAGGCACATGGGGTTGACTCCTAGCAACGTTTGGTGCAGTTGTCATAGTACAAGGCATAGACGCATCATACAGATTTTGTGTTTGCCCCATAGGCATCATGTAGACTGGGTATGGCTTATTTAGCTGATATTGGACAGGTTGATGTGGTTGGACATAAGTTGGATACATTGGAGTATAAGATGCAACAGGTATAGAATTTGGGTAATATTGGGGAGCATAATTGGATTGAGGAGCAGCATAGTGAATGTAATGTGGCGTTGCTGTTGCTAGTGATGGTGGCTGAGGTGGGGACTGGTGCTGAGGTTTACCCATTGGTTTAGATACCATATAACCAGAAACCTGAACAGAAGTCAGAATATCACTCCGAGGAGAACGATCAGAAGCATTGCTTTCAGTCTCAACAGGGTTCACAGAAGCAGGATTAGAGTCAAAAAATCCTGATGCGTCTTGATACACAATTCCTTGCTGGCTGAAGTTTGGGCTGGGAATGCTGCAGTCACTGTAAAATACAACAATCCATGAAACTACCAAGATTAGTTACTCAAGATGACCAATAGGTGAATGCTAGAACACAGCATTCCAAGACATGATCCATCAATGCATTACGCAACGCCACAATAAACTGACATTCGTTTCAGAAAATACTTCGTATATATTATAAATGCAGAGTTCAGAATGTAAAGTGGAGAAATCAAACTACCGAAGAAATAAGTGTAGGATCAATTGTAGACTAGTCTTAAGATCCAAAATATTACTTACATCTAACAGCTTCCCTTACTACTAGCAATTAATATGTATATGCAAACACCCCCACCCAAAAACATAATTAAAAGAAATTTAAAATAAGAAAATGTTCTAATCCTTAGATAGTCACCAAATTCTTAACGAACTATAGTAGATGATAATTAAACCTAATGTTTACTTTATTGAAAGACAATGAGCCCAATGCACATTTGCTGGTGGTCAACAGGCTTAATGACAGACAACACAGGAAAGCAAAGGCATATACATAATTTACACTGAGATCTGGTCATCAAAGGATCACTGCATAGGGAGACAATTATGGCATTATTACTGACAGAATTGATTTATAAACATGTGCATATTAATTTGGAAACTTGGACTAGCATCATGTAAGTAAATATCAAGACTGACCACGAAGCATGTACGAATGTACAGCCTCAACATAAAGAAACCCATTGAAAATTCTTGGAGCTTCTCAAAATATTGCATAAAGCCTAGAGCATTTGGCATGGCGAATGAAGATCACGGACCCCAGTACTTCATAAAAATTATCACACCTCCGCAACCTTTCCTTTCCTATACTTAGCATCAAACATAAAACAGCAAAGGATTTCCAATCACTAAAGCAATCACCACTTTCAAAAATCAAATCTCATATAGCCACTGCAAATTATCACCATACATGGAGAGGTTTTGCCCAGGTCATATAGACCTAACTGCTGGACAATCAACACATGCGACCGAAACCTGAATAGCCTACTCCGTGTATAACTGCACAATATTCATTCACCCGTTTCTGTACATCCAACAATCATCACCATCACCACCACCACCACCATTGACATACCTCGGTCATTCCAAAAGTCCATTGAAAGTCTTAGCTCTAACCAATCTATATCTTTACGGATACTGTTTCAGTGTTTCAGGAAAACCACCATAATAACCCAAATATCGCCAATTAACTCAATGATATACACAACCTAGTTACAAAAACACAAAACATGTACTCCGTACAAAGTACCAACTACCCGAAAGAACGAATTCCGCCTATGGATCCAGTTCAAACAACATTCCGCTGCAATCTAGCTAGATATCTACAAAGACAATTAACTACTTCTAATTGACATCACAATATTTTTATTTATTTTTTTTAAAAAAAACGTTGACATTTTGTACTTCCTCTTAATAGAATGAATCACCATCCAATCCAAACCAAACATTGCAAAAACCTAAAGCTCATTAAACTTGAATATTGTAATTTCAGGCAGATAATATGATAGCTATGTTTGCTTTCTTTCATTTCTCAATTAAATCAAATAAATTGCAGGAAAACATCATACTTGAAAACTTAAATAATTTCTGTACTTTATGAACAAATAATTCTTCAAATTTTATCCTAGAAATTAACCAAACAAAACCCACATATTTGATATTTCATCCTCCATCTTCAATTACTCAAAGTTCATCCCACAAAAAAATGATAATAATAATAATAATAAAATTACGAAAGTAAATAAAAAATATAAATTCAAAATTTGAAAAATAGTAAACTAAATTACCTTCCCAGAGAATCAACAGAAGGCAAAACCACCTTAAAATCATCCGCAACACCCACTTTATTATTCTTCCCGGGAGAATTCGAAGACGAACTATTTGACCCAAACGACGAACTACTCTCCAAAACAATCGATTCCGGCGCCGACGACGAAGAATCATTACTATTATTATTGGTATTATTATTATTATTATTATTATTATTATTATTATTATTATTATTATTATTATTATTGGCAGGACTCGAACTCGCGACCTTGAGCGCATCAGCAAACCAATCATCATCACATTTCAAATCACGAACAGGTTCCTCTTTCTTAAACAGAAAGAATCTGATACGCGAACCCGAAGACAAAAGTCGATCATATTCATCAATCATATTGTAGAGATCTTCATCAGAGGAGATAGAAATGAGGGAGTCGAGGTCATGGTTAGGGAGCTGGTATTTGAGGAGAAAATTGAGGGACCCATTAAAGAAGGATTTAGCGATGTGAGAGAAAAGGGAGGAGAGAGAAAGTGAGGAATTTCGAGGGATAGAGATAATGCGGGTTTCACCGCCGGCGTAGAAAAGGGTTTTGTCGTGAGGACGAGGGAGGATGTGGCCGTTGAAGCTGACCATTAGCCGGAGTTTTTGACCGGAGTTTTTGGGTTCTTTCTTTGCGCCGCCGACGACGACGGTGGGAGATGTCGTCGCCGGCGGTGTCGACGGTGAGAGATCCATGGGAGTGGATCTGAGGAGAGAGAGAGAGAAGGAGGAGAGAGAAAGTTGGAGGGTGGTTTTTGTGGGTTTGTTGTTTATAGCGCGGGTATGTTTAATAGACAAAATTATGTGTAATTTCTCTCGTTTTGCGGCTTTGTTTCCCCTTTTAGTGGGGTTTATCATTTGTAGAAGAGGGGTAATTAGGTGGACTAAATGAACTATTGTTTCGAATTAAATACGCTCGATGTATATTCGTAATACAATACAATACATTGTCGTATGAATGTCAATAAGTTTAGTTTAATACTAAAACGTGGAAGCTAATTACTTTATGGTTCTATGATGTATGGCTTATGCTTGGATATTATCAATTTGTATGTTTGTTAGGATGTGCTTAGGTCTTGTTTAATTCAACTTATTTTTACTTATTTCAGAAAAAATAAGTTCAAATCAGATCATCGTTTTATATGCAATTTTTTGTTGCTAAATATCTTTAATTTCGTAATGAAAAAAATTATGAAAATTACATATTAATACAATACACATTATTTCGAATCTAACAAGATCCCACTTGATATATTTTTTCTTTATATATTATCGTACACTTAAGGTCAAAGTTTGGTCAAATCAGACATTAAGATTAGATCAGATCAGACTAAATCAGATAAGTTCAAATAAGGTGAACTAAACAAGGCCTAAGTATTGAGTCGTTAGAAATAAAGCATTGTAATTGGCTTGGACCAATGTAACACAATTGTAATTTAGATTAAATAATTGTAGAATTCAATTAAATATTGTTGGATTTGTGTAAGGAAATTGGACATTAGCAACCACTAACCAATTCCAATAAAGCTTGTCTTGAAATGGAATATATAAGGTAGTCGCCAACAAGTTTTAGGAACTTATAAACTGTTCACGGGTGTGAAGGTTACACCCCATTCACGATCACGGAAATCGTTAACTCCATTGTAGTCCAGAACCATGACTGGATGTTCGGGGATGATGGTACGAATCCAACCTTAAAGAGATTTAACCCGCCCTAAATACTCAATTCTTATGATACGCTTTTCGATCAACATACACACATCAAGTTAATCCTAAACATGTTTAATCTATGTTAGTTGATTATTAATGCACAATCAAATCTATTATTGGTGATCACTTAAAATGGAATATATAAGGTAGTACCTAAAAGGCGACTTGACTGGGTTTTAAGTTTATGTGTGACTAGTTGACTTTTTATCGTGTTGTGTCAAGCTTGAATGTATATAAGGGTTATTTTAAAGTCATTAAAGATGAAAATCATCTTATTGATTTCTTATGAAGGAGATGCTTTATAATAGTTTCATTCTCTATCTTAGCTTAACTATTGCCCATGAACACTTGTTAGAAAATCTCACTTGTTGTTAATCTACAATTGGATGTATGTGTTTCTGTTGCTACTAATCCTATAAGTCAAACCTTATTTATTATGCAGAAAATCAATCAA